CTTAATGTCAATGGAATAGACATTCCTTGTATGACACCTTTTCCTGTATAGGAAACTGTTTGGTAGTAAAAACCAGAAATAAGTTTTGTATTATAGCTCATATTGTTTATAGTAAACTCAGTCGGACATCCAAACATAATGAAACCTGCTCTAGTTGCAGCACATGTTACACCCGTCCTTAAAGTATTAAATAAGTCAACAAAAACCTGTTGGTGGTATATCTGATAAGTATCTTCAAAGGAGTATTTTTTACCATTCACAACAATAAAGTCTTCTGGTGTCAAAAGAGCAAAACAGGCTTTAGTCGTCATTGTGTTTAAGGTTAGTTTACAATACCGTCCTTGAGGACTTTGTAAGTTTGTTGTTATAGAATTATATGACTCAGGGTTTTTAGTCGTAATAGTATAAACCATTATATCTTCTGCCATTTATATATATTTAAAAGTTTTTCTGAAAGTGGAGAAGAACTTCATCTAAACTTTCACATGGCGTTTCTTGAAGTTCTCTGTCTAAGAAGTTCAAATATTTTGTAAAGACATAGAACTTTCCTTTGTCTACACGAACAAACAAAACAGGGTCTTTCATATCGTTCAAAAGTGTGTAAAGTCCTTTACATGAAATAAAGTCTATATTATTTTTCTTCAAACATCTTTCAAGAAGTTTTGACATTTTTACTTAGCAAATAAATTTTAATGAAATGTTGTGGTCGTCAAATATTTTTATGACGTCTGGGAAACTATACTTTAAGTTCAACGTTTCACCTCCTTTCATAACGTATATTTGTCAATGACATTATATGAAAACCACAGCAACTAATGTCGGGTTCTATTTCTTTGATGTTTATATCGTCTGCCTCTGTCAAAAGTTTCAATAGTTCTTTCAAAACTTCATGAGGTGCAATGACATATGAGTTCACTTTTACAGGGTTGTGTTCGACCAAGTTTAACATTATACTTAAAGCCTGACAAATCTTCTCCTGAGTTTGAAGTTTGTCTTTCAGTTGTTGGTAGTCGTTTCGAATATCTGCAACAGAACTTAAGTCTCTGCTAACTTCAGGATATGTTGGTTGTTCTTTTACAGGAACAATTGTTATACCATCTTCGTCTTCGTATGGTTTCCCCACTTCAACATCTCTGTCTTTGACATTGACAACAACACTTTGACTGTTTGTTTGAGTTGGTGAATTTAACTTCACATCTGCCACCGCCATTAAACCTTTTGAAACATTACGCTTCTATTTTTCGGAAATGACATTTTACTTAGAATAAAAAGATGGACGTATTCGGATATCTTTGAATTGAAGCAAACAAAGTTTATACTCACAAACAATACAAATACATTGACAGAATAGTTCTTTACACAAACAATGGAAAATGTTATAGAATAGCAGTCTTTGCTGAACCAAAATATTTCCATAAAGCAAAGAAAGTTGGTATAACTGAAATGGTGAAAGTTCTTGACGTTGACAAAAATATAACAACAAAACTTACAGATATTTCTAAAGGTAAGTTTATCTTACAATATTATGTCAAAACTGGCGTACTGTCAATATTTGACGGAGAGAAGTCAGTTCAAGAACAACTTACTGACCTGCTGCCAAAATCTGCTCGATGGAAGCTGTCGTTATGCCAATCTGAGGAGCCCCAGCAGGTTTCATCGAACGAATCTTCAAAAGAGCATCTTCCGTGAAAAGTGCTATTGGTTTTGTAAACTTCTTTGCTCTGCTTCATCTGGACCGTCTCTGTCACCAGTATATTGTATTTGTACAGTACCAACAGTTGAAATACCACCCATAAAGTCTTCTGAGTCAGCAAATGGAATGCCAAGCCAAAAGTTTGAACGGTCTCCATTTGTATATTGAGTTTTTTGACCTCCTGTATGAGTCCATACTTTCACATATGGCATAATAGAACTTTGCATTTCAGGGTTAATGGTTGTTGTGAAGTTGTTGTTAAAGTTCATAGCATCTAATGTCAAGTTGTATGACCTCATATCCTCAACTGTAGAATATTCTTCTCTTGGATAATATTTGCCATCTATGTTTATATGATATTTAATACCGGGGTTGTAGAAACAAGAATAGTCATTTATAGTTCGTCTGAACAGTACAAACATAGTATCTGCATGTTTCATTGCAGTTGTTAAAGCAATATCTGTTCTTGCACCTGGTCAGCACTTTGGTTTCCAACTTCACCTGCAAAGTCTTTGACAGATATTTGGTGTATAGGGAACATAAGTGGAACTGCAATATATTTGGCAGCTAAAGCATTGAAATATCTGGGTCCAACATATAGACTGCAAGTCTGCTTTCTATTTCTTGCATTCAAACTTTTCGCATGTGAAACTTAACTGGGTCCCAAGCAGTTCCAGCAGCATTGAAATAATAGTTTACTTCATTGTTGAAGTTTGAGAAACCAAAGTCTAAGTCAACTTTGGTCTTTGCAAAAGTCGGCGAATGACGTTTTATTTTGTTCCCATTTACGTCTGTAAGAGTGAATGGTCTTGTGTTGGTGCAATGACTAAGTTATTTTTGCTTGGAGTAAGTTCAATAGAAAATTTTTCCTGCCCAGTTTGGCAAGTATCTTAAAAACCTGAAGATGAGGAAAGATGACAAAGGAACTCAAGTTTCAGTTTTACTTTAGTGGCAGCAGTTCCATCTGAACCAGAAAGGTAACATAAACTCCTGGAACGTTAGGGTCAAGTCTTCTTATTTTCTCAATATTTGCATACTGGTCTGTTTGTTCTCTAGCTTGTGGTTGTACTGAGTTTCTCAAAGCGAACCATTCATAGTTTGCCCATGTTACTGTTTGAACTAAGTCAGAGTTAGAATATATCTTATATCCCATGAAAACTTCTGGAGCATATTGGTATCCGACATAGAAAATTCCATGCAACCTTTCTTGTCAGACAACTTGGCAGAAGGTTTTATTTCAATGTCTTGTTCCACGTATAAGAATGATTGTCAATAGAAATAATATGAAACCTGTCGCAAGCAATATCTACTGTTGTTTGAAGAACCTTCTCCAAACTCACCTACGTTTCCATAAGAAACAGCAGTTGTATATTCGTAAGTTCCAGGAACTATTTCTGACCTTCTAATGGCATTGTCGCATTCGTTATACCATTCGGAAACATTTCCGTTCATGGCATCCAAAACTGTTGGCGTTATATTCTGAGCGGCGTACATTTCATATGGGTAAAAATAAGAATAGTTGGATTTATATCATAATAGAACCCACTCGTACCAAGCTTTACTTTGTTCTACTCTTCTTCTTTGGTGTCGCTTTTGGTAACTTGCCCTCTGCTTCAAGTTGTTGCATCTTTGCCTCATGTTCACCTAGTATGTTGTAAATTTCCCATGTCCTTTTTGCCTTTGGGCTCTGGTCGCCTATCTCAGGTAACCTATATCCTAGAAAGATTTTGTCATAGTTTGTATTTGAGTCTTCGCTTATTGTTGCATGACTCTTTCCTGAGTTTCCGGTTCAAGCTCTTCAAATATAGCTTGTCCATATGGAATAAGCTCGTTTCCAAATATATGTTTTTGTAGCCATTCTGGTTTTCTTTCCATGTTACCAATAATATCTTTTGTGAATGGGAAAGCTTTTACCCAATGTTTCAGTCTTGCGTCATTTATTTCTGTAGTTGGTTTTATTTTGTCAAGGAACATGTTTTTCAATACTAACATTTCATTTGGTACTGTCCATTTGAGTTTCTTAAATATTCATCCCTTCTCGGTTCATTGTCTGCAAAGTAAGTTTTTATGACATTTTGCAAACTTTCGTTTGCAAGGTCATGTACAATAGGTTCTCTTCCTTCTCTCTCCCTAACTTTCTTTCTAAACTCTTCACCAAATATACCATCTCTATGGTTCTGTGTAGTTCTTTGAGATAAATGTTCTAGAACGTCAGGTGTTATATTTCCATCAGCCATGTTCATTTCATACTGGTCCAAAATATCTGCATCTTTCATATCTTTCAATGGCATTAAAGCCGCGCTGAAAATACCAGCTACATCTGGTTCACCATTCACTTCCATTGCGTCTACAACTTCTTGGAATTGTGGTTGTAAGTTTATGAACCACCTATCCGGATTAGCTTTATGACCCCATCTCATTGTAGTTCCATCGTCTGCAGAAACAAAAGTAGGTTTGTTTCCATATTGGCTAGGTTCTGAATGAACTTTAAACAATGTTTCATTTCTATATGTTTTGTTGAAATTTAACCTTTTATTTTCACCGAGTTCATCCAAAGATTGAACGTTATATGCTCGTAAGTAAAAAGGATTGTTGTATTTGTGTACATTATCTTTCAGTACTTCCATTCTATGCTGGATATTTTCATCTGATGTTGGAGTCTTTTGTATGTCGGCGAACATTTTTCGATATTCTTCTACTATGTCAGCCGAATTTTTCTTAGACTCTTGGAAAGATTCCATATTCCCCGCATACACTTGTTGAGGGTCAAGATTTTTCGGCTGTTCCAAATCTTCATCTAGTTCTGTGAAGTTAGTTTCCAAAGGAGGGACTTGTTCGTTTTCTTCAGGCTCTTCTAGCTGTTGTTGCTGAACTATTTCTTCCATGTCTGGTTGTATCTGAACTTCTTCCTGTGGAGTTTCTTGTACCTCATCTGGTGGCATTTCATATATTCCGAGACCGTTTTTAAAAAGTTCCCTATCTAAGTCATCCGGACTCATAAACCTTTCTTCTTTCGTTCCGTCTCTATTTTTTACGCGTTTCATGAAGAGAGTTGAATTATCGTTTAGCTCTGACACCAAATATCTTGGAGTAAATTCAGTCATGTCATTTGGATGATATGCTATTAAATCATATCCCTTAGCGAGCTTGTATTTTCCAGGTTTGAAATTATATCCCATTTGGTGCTGAACCATAAAGCTAAATAGGTTCGGGTCAGTATTTCCTTCCTTGAACTTTCTAATAGCTTCTTTATATCTGTCACTAAAGTCAAGAGTATCTGGGTAACCATAGTCTTCCTTAAGCATTTTTAAGAATTCTTGGTTTCCTTGTTCTCTACTTCTTTTATGTCCTTGCTCTGTTTGTGGTTGTTGTTGTGCAGGGTTTTGAACTGTTGGTTGCTGTGCAGTGTTTTGAACTGTTGGTTGTGGTGCAGTGTTTTGAACTGTTGGTTGTGGTGCAGTGTTTTGAACTGTTGGTTGTTGTGCTGGTTTTGGTGCATGCCTGTGTCTGTGTCCATGTGACGATGTAAATGTTTTAGGTAGTCCTGGTGCAGGTGCTTCTCTTGGAGGGTTTGGTGGTATATAAGTTCCACTAGCTAGTATATAAGTTCCACCAGCTGGTATATAAGTTCCACCAGCTGGCACATATGTTCCATCTGCAGCATAATGTCCTACCTGACTTTTCGTTTTTAAGAAAGCATTTACTAGGTCTGTTTTGGTCTGTTGTAACTCTTTTTCTTGACTTTCCACAACAGTTGCTCTAACGGCGTCATAGGCACTTTGAACTGCCTGTCTCGTTGCTGCATCTGTTATTTTCGTCATATTTTGTGCTACTTCTCTTAACTCTTTGTCGAAACCTTCAGACTTCAGTTTCTTTCCAGATGAGAAGTCGTTCACTAGTTTCACCTTACTATGAAGAGCTTCGAAGGCATTCTTAAAGTCAGCATTCATTAAAGCTTCATTTGAACTGTCTTCATCCGCTTGTATTTTTGTCCTTATTGACCCTATAAGTTGGGCTGCTTTAGCGTTGGCTTGGGCATCTAACCAGTCATTATTAGCTTTTATATATTCTGAGCTTTTCATTGCCTTTTGCATGGCTGCGTCGTTATTTTTACTTTCTTGTGCTAAGTTTTCATACTGTACGGTTTGGTTTTGCAACTGTAAAAGTTTTTCTGCCTTTACATTTGCTTCAACTTCTTTTTTATACTCATCGCTATCCATATATGTCTTCAGGGCTTTTTGTTTTATCTCTTCATCTTTCAGTACTTTATATTGAGTAGTATGGTTTTCAAATTTATAACATCTTGTTCCATTTTTGCTACTTCTGCTGCTTTTTCTGACACTTTTTTCGCATATTCCTCTGTACTTAGTTCTTTCAGTTGTTCTTCTTTCTTCTTTTTCTCTACGTTTAACTCATTGAGTTTCTTTGTGTGTCTGTCATATTCTAGTTTCTTTTCGTTTTCACTTATTTGTTTCTGTATGTCTATGTTTGACTTTTTGACATCTGTTATTTGATTTTTGAGTGAACTCAAATTCATTTGACTTTGAGGGTTATAAGCTGTTCCGTCTGCAGCTCCACCATAGCCTGCCATTTTCGCTAAAAGTGCCGCTCTTAAACCTCCACTCTGTGCACCAATAACTCGGTTTAAAAGCATAGGGTTGCTTGACATTTGTTGCAACATAGTGGGGTCATTCATAATTTGTTGTTGCAACTGTTGTTGTGGTGTCAGTTTTACTATTGGATGTTTCAATGCTCTCTTCCTCTTACGTATATTCTTACGTAGCTTACGTGGCATTTTAAGTGAAGTAAAAAACGGTTTTTGACAGATGTTTATATGACACTTTTTGTTCAGCACAAAAAACTACTCGGTCAAAGTGTTGTCAGTTTTGTAAAATAACCGTCCTATCTCCGTGCCTATGACGAAGAAGTCTTGACAAATTCAAGAGGTGAGAAAACAGGTGAAAAAACAGGTGAGATCTCACCTCTTCACCTAAACATTATTTTTGTCTGATTTTACGAAGAAGTTTTGACAAAACATTTACGAAGAAGTCTTGACAAAACATTTACGAAGAAGTCTTGACAAATTCAAGAGGGTAGAAAAGAGGTTAGAAAAGAGGTTAGATCTAACCTTCTACCCTAAACTTTATTTTTGTCTGATTTTACGAAGAAGTTTTGACAAAACATTTACGAAGAAGTCTTGACAAAACATGAAAACATATATAATTTGTGAAAAGTGACACATTATATAATGTTTTCGACCCAGAAGACTAACAATTTTCCGAATAAAAACTTCATTTATACTAAACTTTTTATGGGCTAGAGGGCGCAACGCGCCTGGAAGCCCTCCGAATATAAACTTCATTTATACTAAACATCAACAGGGCTAGAAGGCACGAAGTGCCTGGAAGCCCCACTACCTTTTTTTTTTTTTTTTTTTTTTTAATTTAACTCACACTATATTGAAATTAATCATTTGGTTAAGAAATTTTTTACCCATTGATTCATAATTTTTCTCATTTTATTATTCTGTGTTGTCTATTTAAAAAACAGAATGTTCCACTCTTAAATAAGTCAGTACACAATGTCTATTAAGAAAAATTATTCAACATTAAGAGTTTAATAATTTATTTCAATATGACTCATAAAATATTTGATCTGATCAATATCAATGCATTGAATCTCATTATATTGTGATAGACAACACAGAGTGAATTTTGCTATAGTAATATATATTCTAAAAATTGCTGTTTGATTAATTATTGGAACAATTTTAGACCAAATCGTTGAAACACACTTTGAAGTTTTTGAAGAAACTAGTTCAACCATTCTAGCATTTATTTTTCAGTCCAATCATTTGAATAGAGGTACTATTTTTATTTGAAAAATTCCAAAGTAAAGGAATATTACGAAATGGGAGATATAAATCGCCTCAATTCATAGAAGGCATTAATTTGATCCACAAGAATGACTTGGGAATTCTTGGGAAATTTTAGATTTTCAAATTAGCCTCTTAAAATCTTTTCATATCACATGTCATTAAATGCAACAAATTCAAGATAAAGATCCGATTGAATACATAATTTGGCAAGAAAACCTATTCGAAACTATTCAATCTGCACCAAGTGATCCTCAAAACGAAGCAGATCGAAATTTGCTCTTATGCTACCAAGCTTGGGACAATTTTCGTTCAACTCCTTACATTAACAAAAAACCAAACATTGATAGTTTCTCAATTTCTCATATTTGCAATCTTATTATCCCATTTTACATCGCAAGGTGGAATACAATTATCAGAGATGACACTCATGCGTTTCATTTGAAGCCTGCATTAGTATATATCACAGCATTTGTTGATCAGATGAAGAGATTAAACGTTTATAACTACGATACTGAGAAATTAGTCTTTACAAGAGAACAAATAATTTCTCAACTCTCAAACTCAGGCGAAAACTCTAAGATTGTACTTAAACAGTTACTTATTAAGAGTGTGGAAGATGCTGAAGAGCTTAGAATTCAAGTTCAACGCGAAATTGAAGAATGTTTGAAAGATCCTGTTCGTGCTGCTAAATTACAGGATATTTCAATAGCTAATGATTCTCAGCTTGTTTACAGATCTCTTGTTATCCATCAAGCAACCGAAGAAATGGGAGATATGGAAGATCTTCTTAATGATAGGGAGCAAAGTGACGTCAACCCCGATGAAATGCTTGCTGAATCAAGATATAATTACTTTGAGAATGCCCAGGACTTATTTGATGATGAAAACTCAGATAATATCGAAATATCAAATCCATTGACATTTATTCCACATGTTATTGCTGATTTCAAAGCTCTCCAGCGATTTGTTGCTACTCACTACCAAGATTTAACTCCAGAAGAGAGAGTACGGTTTGCAAAAGCTTTCTTTGAAGCATCAACCAAAAATCTTCCTAGTTTTATTATTAAGAAGTTCTCACAAACAATCCAATCACTGTATAGAGATTAAATAGATTATTTATAGATTATTATTTAAAAAAAGATTTTTTTTATGATAAGTTATGTTAATTATAAGCAAAATGAGCCTACCCACTACAATTAGAACTCATGATTTAATAGTAAATAATATCAGTTAACTACATTTTCAATGAGAACTCATTATTTGACAGTAAATAATATAAGTTAATCAGGGTATGTCCATTTTGTTGAAGGACTCATCGTGAATACTTCCGATTTCTCAAAATCCCAAAGTAATAAATACATTTCGAGTAATTAAGGACTGTATGATAATTAGCAATTGATATTAATATATTCAATACACCAGCCAACTGTTCGGGCATGAATTGATGAAGTATTTGTGGTGCATTTTTTTTCTGACACTTTTTTATTATAAAAATAGATTACACAGCGTTATCTTAATGAACGATCAACTAATTCATAAATATGATGATTTTATTGAGACTTATGAGAAACTCTTCCGCTTGAGTTCAAGTGATTCTGCCGAAGAAGTTTTTAATTTGATTTTATCTGTTTTGATCAAAAAGTATAAGGTGGTTATTTCAACTATCATTTTTAATTTACTCACAGCAGTTCAGTGTAATTATCAATTCATCGAACTTTATATTAAAATTTTAAACCAATTATTATCAAAATATTCTTTCAAGTTCAATTCGTTTTTACAAAAATCATCCATAGCTGATATTGCTAAACAATTAAAAGTATTCCAAACAAACAATCCAAATGGAGGTTTACAAGTCGATTTTGATCGAAAATCATTTCCGAAAGAAGGAGAAATATTATACATAATCATGAACGACCAAATTGACAAATTCAAAGAATATGTTAGTCATGAATCAATAGAATCATTTTCAGCGAATATTAGTGTCTATCAGATGCACTCACCTATTGAAGCATGCTGTTATTTCGGATCTGTTAACATTTTCTTTTTCCTCCTTACGAATTTAAATGTCGCAATGACACCAAAATGCCTTTTATACTCAATTTTTGGTAGAAATACAGACATCATCAATGAATGCATGAAAAACATTAAAATGAACAAATATGCATTAGAAAGTACAATCGCATCTCATAACTACGAATTTCTCGAATATCTTTTTAAAAGAGATCTTATTAATATTTCAGATCTTGATATAGATAAAATATAGGGTGTCCAAAGGTGTGTTTAGCACAAACCTGAATACTGCGAATAGAAATAAACAAGTTACATATATATAAAGTTTATTTAAATATAATCACCATTGGATTCAATCACGCGTTCGCAGCGATCGATCCAGGCTTGAAAGACACGCTTTAAATCATCATGAGAAAATTGCTCAAATTACTCTCTTACAAAATTTTCAAGATCATCTGGACTCGCGAATTCGCGTCCTTCAGCTCTCTTTTTTAGCGTGCCGAATAAATAAAAGTCAGAGGGTGCAATATCAGGTGAATAAATTGGGTTTGGAACGACTTTGACATTGTTTTCCACCAAGTAATTCATTACCTTATGACTTTTGTGAACTCTTGAATTATCAAAATGAATTGCAAACTTTTGTTTTTGTTGTTTGGATTTGTCAAACTCATCAGAATTGATAATTTGAGTAAGAACATTGTCAAATAGATACTGCGCATTCATCGTATTAGGTTTTTGAAGAATATCAATTGCGATGATGTCATTCACGCCCCAAAAAACCGACAACATAATCATTGATGTGTCAATTTTTTTCTTCGGGAATGTTTGCGGATTTTCATCCTTCGGGATCCACATGATTTTGGCTTCTGTTGCATATTGAAACCAAGACTTGTCCCCTGTTACTAAAAAGCGAAACTTCTTGGATTGATACGCACGCAATATAGAGAGGAGCTCTTTCGAAGATTGGACTCTAGATTTTTTTTGAACTGAATTAAGGTTGTGCGGAACCCAACGTGTATACGCTAGTTTGTAGTTCAAATAATTGTGCAGATAATAACTGACTGTTGTACGTTGTATCTTTGTCATCTCCTCTATCCTTCTGAGTGATGCTCTTGGGTCTTCATCTAGCACTTGAAGAATTGCTTTGATTTTTCTTTGATCCGGCGATTTTTTGTCAATTTTTATGATGGGCGCCTTTTTGTTCATGAAGTGATACATCCTAACATGATACGTTACAGTGGAATAGCTAGGAGCATCCATACCGAAGCATTTTACCAATGTCTCGTAGATTTTTTACAGTCTTTGCATTTTTTTGCAAGAGCGAGGATGTTTTCTTTATGATTCATTAAAAAATGAAAAAAAATCCCGCCAAAATTTCCCGCGAAACCGCCTTTTGTCTCAAAATTCATTTTATATCCCGGCATGGCGCCAAAATACAACTTACTCATCATATACATATATTCATATTTTTTATTATATATTTATAATCAGCATATATCTCCTTTAATAGTCTCATATAGAGCGCTGTGCTAAACGCACCTTTGGACACCCTATATTAACATCTCAAAATTTGAAAGCAGTTTTTCCGTTGTACGAAAAAGATAAAAATTCAATCATTCCCTGGTGTGCTGGACTTCCACAGGCAATAGATATTCTCAAAGATAAAAATTTAGATTTATCAAGAAAATCTTCTGATGACAAAAATATTTTGCATTTTGCAACTCTATAAGATAATTTTGGGACTTGCAAATTTGCGTTAGAAGTTTTAAAATTTGATATTAATTCATGGGATATACATCGTCGTACACCTCTTTATTATGCAATTAAAAATAACAACAAACAAGTTGCAGAGTATCTCATTTCTCATGGAGCAGCCTTAGATGATTATGGGAAAAATTTCAAGATGAATGCTTTACATACTGCCGTAAGGTACCAATGCTATGAAATTATAAAAATTCTATTAAGACATGGCGAAAATATCAATAGATATTGTTTTGGCCAAAGAACTGTCCTTCATTGTGCAGCAAAGAGGAATTACACATCAATGGCAGAATTTCTTATCCAACAGCAGAGAGCAAATCTTTAGAAAGTGCAAAATTACTTATTTCTCATGGTGCAGATGTCAACATAAAAAAGAATAATGGATATACAGCCCTTCATTCATCTGTATATTCTGGAAGCAAAGAAATAACTGAGCTCCTCATTTCTCACGGCGCAAATGTCAATGAAAAAACTGAAGAAGGATCCACACCATTGCATATAGCAATCGAACGTAACTTTTTTGAAATCGCAGAACTTCTTATTTCACATGGTGCTAATGTTAATGCAAAATCCAAAAACGGTACCACTGCTCTCCATTTACTCTCGCAGACTGATTTTCAGAGCAATATTGAATATCTTATTTCGAAAGGCGCCGATGTCAATATCCCCGATGAATTAGGGAAAACACCTCTCCATTTTGCAGTTGAAAGAGAACGTAAATTCTCTGTTATAACTCTTATTTCACACGGTGCCAATATCAATTCAAAAGATTCATCTGGACAACTCCTCTTCATTTTGCAGTAGCAGCAGGGTTTGAAGAAATTGTTGGAATTCTTATTTTGAATGGGGCAAATATTAATGCAAAAGATACTTCAGGACAAACTCCTCTTCACTATGCTACCAAAAAGAAATTTAATTCAATAATGAATCTTCTTATTTCAGAAGGTGCTGATATTAATTCACAAGATGAAAAAGGAAGATCAGCTCTCCATTTTGCTGTTGAAACCTTTAGTAAAGTAAACGTTGCTCTTCTTAAATCCAAAGGAGCCAATCTCGATATAAAAGATAATGACGGTCGCACACCTCTTCATTACTCAATTTCCAATTCCACTACTAGGAAAGAAATAATGGAATTCATTATTTCTAATGGTGCTGATATCAATGCAAAAGATAAAAATGGCTGGACTGCTCTTCACATTACAGCATCAGAAGGCAAGAAAATATTGGCCGATATTCTTATATCTCATGGAATCGATATCAATGCAAAAGATCATGAAGGTAATAGCGCCCTATATTATGCTTCAGAACGCAAGCATCATACAACAGTCAAATCCCTTATTTCACATGGGGCTAATTAGAAAGTTTTTGAATACACATGTTCCAAGATGATGAACGGAATCAGGAGTTTCAAAATGAATGAAATTTGTACTAAAACATTAGTAATTATAGTTAGTATGGTTATGTTGGGTACGGCGGCACTGCGTTCCACCTTACCCAACATAACCTTAAATATTTACAAAACCGCCACCCACTTCACTTCACTAACGAACTCACTAATGTAAAAAATAAACGTTCTCACTATCGTTCTCACTAACGACTTCACTAATGTTCTCATAAATTTTCCTCAATATCTTCATCATCAGTGTTAACCCTATTGTAGTCATACTTGAAGCCATAAACTTTCTCTAACTTCTTAACGTACAATTTACATAACTTACCTTCGTCATCATATGGTTTAATGATATAACTATTTCTATCTTTATACACAGTCAATGAAAAGTCAACTGGTCTCGGATGTATTTGAAAGAACATGTTATGCTCAGGAAGGAAGAATAAATGTTTAAATGTATGTTTGTTATATTTTTCGATTTGTATGAGTTGCTTTTGTTCTGTCATTTACATCCAAATAAAAATTTTCAGTAAAATAAAAAATAAACTTAAAAATTAATGATATCACCACCCTCACACGTATGAAAACATAGCCCAAAAATAAATTTAGGGTAGATGGGTATATCTAACCGATTTCTAACCTCATTTCTACCCTGTTGAATTCATTGCTTTATAACTCTCTTCCTTTCTCCAACTCTTCTAACTTCTTCCTAAGTTTAGCAATGTTGTCCTCATGAAGTTTAATCTTTCTCAAAATTCCTTCTTTATCTAATGGTTGCTTTATCTTTCTAAACTGAACTCTACCATCCTTCATAGTATGAATGTAAAAACCTTCTGGAATAGTTCCTGATTTAATGTATTCTACCAAAAACTTTTGTTTCATTGCTTCAGTGACTTTAGTCGTCATTTCAATTAAATAAAAATTTTAATATTAAATAAAAATAACGTTATTTTTCAGTAAGGAAACGCAGGAGTTTTACGATTTATTTGAGGAGTAGGTTCTGGTTTAAATGTTGGAGTCGGTTTAGGAGTTGACTTTTGAACAGGAGTTTGTACTTCCATAGGTTCAGGAGTCATTGAAGGTTTTGCTTGTGAAGTGTTGTTTTGGCGAAGGTGTTGGAGTTTGTTTAACTTCAGCTACTTCAGTATTATTTACAACATTTGCTTTATTTCTTTTCAACATCATAACTGCTCCTGCTGTAGCTAGCAAACCTAGTGGAGACCATATCTTATATAAGGACTTGACCAAATGCTATTTTTGACAGGAGCTGGTGGAGCACCTAACCTTGGTGAGACTGCTCTTTGCCATTGTGCAGCTCGTAAGAAATATTCAATAGGTGCTCCATAATCGTTTGGTAAAGTTTGTTTCATAGATGGTGAAGGTTCACGAGAGCTTGATGAAGAACTCATTTATAAGCTTTAAAAATAAACGTTCATCCTTTATTCCTCACCGTCGTCCGTAGCTAAGTTATAGTCATCTAATCTTATTATTGGATTCCATTAGCACGCACCTGAATGGCAAAGCAACAATCCCTCATAAATCCAATAAGTGGTTTTGGTACATTTTCAGTTGCTAGTTCAATAGGTCCTTTAACAGACAATTTGTATGTTATTGGAGCAGTAGATGTTTGACCTTGCTGGAAGCAAAAGTCCACTTCTGTTGGAAAACCACATAAGAAATGTGTGTTGTCATAGCTATCCCATTTATGTTCCACACTACCATCATCCACCAATGACCTCATAACATCTTCATTAAATCCTATCATATCATTGTTTGTATTGCAGGCGTTCGCAACCATTTCATAAAATACAGGTCCATATGATTTTTCGGGTTCTGCAGGCATATTTCCATAAGCTCCCATGGAAAGCTGAAGATATTTAAACTTAGGGTTCTCAAAATTAACATAATAGTTGTCTTTCTTTCTAAATAGTGCCCAAATACTTTTAACATTAATAGGCGTATAAGCTGCTGTAAATGTTGCACTTGAACTATCTGTATTCTTTGAGAATGAACCGTCCATAGGAATCCAATCCATAACTTTAACAGGAAAACATAAAGCCTCGTTTGTATAATGTTCTACAAGTTCTGTATAAATGTTAGGGTCTAAAGAGAATGACTTTGGATGAATGAAACATTCATTAAAATCCATCTTTGTTCGAAATAGTTGCTGGGTTACAGTTGTAATAGTAACTGTTCCACTAGCTTCTATTGCCTTCGTTATCATAGTGAATGGTTCATTCCATGGAACAAATTTATTTGTCGGTGGATTTGAATCTGAAGCAAATGCAACTTTAAGAGTTGGATTGAAAGCAATGATATCATTTACAGATATAGATGTGCATTGTAAGGCGTCGCTACTGAACTTTACTTTAAGCTGAATGTTTCCTGCAAAAGCTGGAATAAATCGAATAGCTTCTAATGGAAGGAATCTTCTAACAGGAATTCTTAAACGAAGCTTAAAATCAAATGATTTTCCTGCTGTAATTGGACCACTAACAATTTGTCCTGTTCTGCATGTTCCCGAATGACTCCATACATCTTCATGTCGAGTCTTTGAGAAAACATCTACTTTCTTTATTTGTTCGGTAGTTTGTGAGTTTGAAGTTATATATGCTTCTTCTCTTGCGTTGTCTTGAGAATATACGATACGACCATTTGCAAGGATTTGATATCCAGCAACTGCATAGAAAGCGTCATCGAAACCAATCCAAAATCCTGGTGGGTTTGTTTTATTGGAACCTGAACCAATTTCTTTATCTACAATAAATTGACCTTCCATTTTATACGTAATGAATGTATTGTAAAGGTCCAACATATTTTCACCAGGAGGTGAGAGATTGAATGTTACCCATGTGTTATCTTTAGCAGTTCCAGGTTGTGATGGAATCTTTGCGTCAGAATATTTTCTATTAGTGTCACCAATTTGAACTGCATTGTCTATGATATCGAAATATGAGCGAATCTGATGAATATGCTCTGCTGGAGTAAATTCGTTTAGCTGTTCGTTCTGCATGTATTTACTTCAGATAAAAATATCTATTTACTTCATTATTCTCACTCTTCTTCTTGGCATTCGTGGTGGAAGTTGTTTCTTGACATTTTCAATGAACTGTACATTCTCTTTTGTCTCAACTTCTTTCACTGGCGGGTCAGGGTTCTTTGACTCGGTTTGTTTTTCAATGAAATTCACGAACTTTGCAATAAGCTCTTGGTTCGTTATTGAAAGTACATCTGGCTTCTTTTCTTCTGGTTCTATTGACTTTTCAGTTTGAACAGAAGGTTTTATATGGGCTTCGCCCTCGGTGTCATGCACCTTAATGTTGTCGCTTTCTGCATTCGCTAATGGAACCTTTCTTTTTCTTACATATATTTTACCATCTTTACTCTGACTTACGTAATAGAAAGGATGTTGTATTCCTCTTGCGTCATTTAATATAATAGACTCTCGTTCTGATTTTGACAAGCTCATTTTACATTGGTTAAAGTTTTAATTTAGTTTTTTATCTGCAGTCAAATGACTCAGACAAGTCCTACGGACAAGACTCAAGGGGTCATAGATGTTGAAGCATTGAAGAAAGAAATTCGCGAGCAAATTTTATCCGAACTGAAGGAACAAAAACAAGAACAAAAGCCAGAGAGACCAAAGAGAAAACTTAGTGAAAAACAACTTGCTGCATTAGCTGCTGGAAGACAAAAGAACCCAAGACTACTGGCGAAAAAAGCTAGAGAAGAAGCTGAAGCAAAAGCTAAAGAAGCTGAAGCAAGAAAGAGTAAATGGTTTATTTTTATCCGAATTAAATGTATAGACAAATACCTTTAACTGTTGCGTTCAGTAGTGAAAACCCTGACGTCAAAATAAAGGGGAACAGAGTAACGTTTAAGTTTCCAACAGACTGGATTGTGAACATAAATGAAGAGAAGTACATTGGCATAACATCTATGTATATAACACGTGCTTTCAGAAAGGTTGACTTTATACTTCAAGTCGAGATAGAAAATGACGAACAGTCTTTAAGCGCCCAAAACATTCACATATACAAATACTTTAAAGACGATACAACATTGTTGCAATGTATGATTTCATTTAATGAGATGTTCGAGAAAAAGTTCAACATTGAAGTACAAACTTTACAGCCTTTACGTGAGTTTCTTGCACAACTGAAGGAAGAAGGTAGTCGGCCACAACTTATAGACTTTCATTATGAATTTAATGAAAATGAAGATGGAACACATGACTGTCAGTTTGTTATATATTCACCATTCAATGAAGTCACTAAAGAGAAAGAAAATCCATTACGTATAAGATTTCAAATCTCTGAACTCAATGAAGACTTCAAGAATGTTTTCAGTTATTATGCAATGCTTCCGAGGAAAAATGAATTTTCAAAGATTGTAACACCTGGCATTTGGGATAGAAAGCAAGCTATATTATATTCAAACTTAAGTAAGGGAGTTGAAAATGAGTTCATTGGTCATACAAGAACTTCACCACTTCCTAACCCTAAATACTATAAATTAACTGGCTTCAATCGTGAGTTTTGGATAGACATGTTCTCCACTCATGACCATAACTGCCCAGTGTTCTTACCTCCAGACCATAAGGACTGTCTCTACATTGAAGCACAAACTCTTAAACTCTACCATCGCAGTATTGTAAAATCTACGCTAGTTTTATTTTTTCTGAAAATTTTTATTTGAGTGAAAGGCATGGAAGGTGAAGGACATTGGCAAACACTCGAACATGACAATGACTATGAAATCTTTTCAGAGTACCCATATCCAATTAGACGTATAAGCAATAAAAGAGTTGTTAGTGAGTTTGACAACGGTGATGGTTATATTTGTGTTTATTTAAACAAACATAAACTCTTTAAGCATAAAATTGTTGCAAATCAATTTATACCGAATCCTGAAGGACTTCGAGAAGTAGACCATATAAACAGAGACAGAGGAGACTTTCATATCTCA